ACGATGATAGGATCATATGAAGACACTGATTGAAAATATAGCCGTGACATATTATTCTGTGTTCTGTGTCCCCTCAAGATGTGTGTGATCACAGCTCTCCGCTTTCATCAACATTTGCCCAGATATTAAGCTGTCTATTTCAGATTCTGAGTATGACTTTCTTCCTTTCATTTTCCTTAAGACTTCTTCGTTGTCTACACGCTCCGTCCGTTGTATTCTCAGTATCCTCCTGTAGGACAAGATTTCTGTTACTTAGAATCTTATCCACTAAAAATAACGTTTAAAGAGATAAATATCTATAAGTCTACCATTCGCCCAAGCTCCTGTTTATATTTAGAGATTCTTGATAAAATCCGAAGTCGAATCAGCTGTATTGTTGGTACTAACCTGGCGACTCGGCTTCAGTCCCATAGCCACTGCCATAGAGTTACTTCCCTGTCAGTCAGTCTGTTACGCGCCATGCATGATACACGCTTAGGCGATCATGTATCTTTCGATACATGACTGATGAGGCAGATTTTTTTCCCGCAGTAGGTTGTCTTTCTGCGGTAGATCAGTTGCCACCCAAGGCTATAGAACCAGGTCTGTCCTACTATTTACCCATAGCTGGGGGGAGAAGAAGAGGATTCATACATTTCTCAAGGATTTTAGCACGTAAGCCGCTATCCATTACTCCAGCGCAAAAGTCACGGGAAATGATTTTAAAAAAATTCAGTATATAATGATTTCACGATTTAGTCCCATTTTCTTGATAGTAATGAAAGTCTTGTATGTGTCGTTTTATCAAAATCAAACCTATTTCGTTTTCTTGGCATATTTTAGTTTTAAATTTCGAGTAGGTATCGTGAATCTGTGGCGGTCAGTCAGTTATGTGCCATGCGTGATACACGATTAGGCGATCATGTATCTTTCGATACATGACTGACGAACATTATTAGGGGAGAGAGAACTATAGAAAACCGAGGCAAGGTTGTAAAGGAATTATTGTAGAAAGGACTAATCTTCAATTGTAAATAGAACACTGGCCCAGTGAATAAAAGCGTTGGTTGAGTAATCCAAATAGTGACTTGGCCTAAAGAGTTGTGGGTTTAATACCTGGCACCAAGAGAGGGAAGAAAAAACTTGGATAATTGAATTTCTAAAGGGAATAAACTGAAAGTGATATATTAAAAAAAAGAAAGAAAAAAGCAGGGCACGTGGAATTACAGCAATCTACCCCCGTGGACTGAATAAAAGGTTTGAATCGAAATTCCAACGTATATCACCTGAAGAAGTCCGGAGCGTACAACGGCCGAAACGTTGGAAATATGGCAAAAAAGATGAAGACAACAGTTCGAACCATGTAAATAGTGTGTTTTAACATGTAGCGGGAAATGCGACAAAGAAATCGGAAAGCGCATTGAGGGAGCAAAAGATGCTCTCCTAAAGCTAAGCAAAGTATTGAGAAACAGGAAAATTTCGTTACAAAGAAAATATTACTGAACTGCTATGTAATATCAATCCTTGTACATGGCAGTGAATGCTGGACAATTACCTCAGAGACGTAGAGAGGATTTGTGGCAACAGAGATGTGACCATACGGGAATTCTATGGAGGGATCATGGAAACAATGAGAAAGTTTTAAGGAAAATGGGATGGGGGAAAGGACATTTAAAGTTTCTCGGACATGTAATGCTGAAAGAGATTTTGACTTTCACAGGATTTACTGAAGAGCTATGGGGGTGTTGAGTAAACTAATTGACTAACTGAGTCCCGTGCGTGCTATGAACGTAAAAGGATGAAGTAGGAAATGAAGATAATGAGGATATGTAGGATAGATAACGATTGACCCTTGACTTGAAAAGATTACGACTATAGTGTTCAAGGAAATAACCAGGCATCAGTCTCCTTCCATGTTGTAGATGGATAAGCGCTTCGGAATACCAGGTGCCATAAGCTTGGGTGTACGGGAGATATAATGGATAATGGCTCGGAATTATTAATCGGAGAGCCGAGTTCCAATTCCCCCTGGGTTCGTTATATTCACTTACGCACAAATATCGTTGGGAAAAGTATAAATCCACCTCTTCTCCCCACCAACTATGGGTTAATTAGTAAGACATGTATCACTAAACAATTATTATCTAAAAATAAATTCTGGCAATCTAAAACTATTTTCTGGATTTAAATAACATACAAAGAGTTGATAAACCCTAGAAAACAAATCAATCAATCAGAACTCAAGTGGAATTTATATATGCTATCCATCGCTAATGATGTTGGTAAAATGACAGGCTGATGTACAGATTCAGAATGTACCAGACTCATGCCATGTTCCATCTTTACAAGGATCAGATCAAACCAAAAAAGGCTAGAACTAATTCTCATATGTTACTTGAAAGTCCTTTACATGGTCTTATGGGAGATAGGATTTTCTACAATGCGCTCTCTTTCTGGCAGACGCAAAATCACAAGTTTGTTGTTAGTGTATTTCTATATTTCCATGGAAAACCTTGAGATTAGCTTCTTTTTTTATTACCACCAATCCAGGCATTTAGAGTTAAGACTCGCCTTGCGACGTCCACAAGGTGGAATCACCTTCACCCTCCATCTGTATTTCATTAGTCAAAAGAAAGTCCCACGTAGTACTCATCTAAAGTGGCCAGGCTCGATGTTCGAATTCGGTGATCGTAATGGGAACTGATGTTTAAACAGGGTGTGGCCGTAAACTTTCTGAGTTTCTATAACCCTTCAAAGAACCATTCATTATGACTGGATGGAAATCAGTGTCTGCTTGGTGATAATGACATTATACTGGCTTCGTTTTTGAAGTACTAAAAAGATTTTAAGAAATCACATCGTATGAGTATATTTTGTTTTGATTTTCGTAGGAGGGATCAATTTACAATAAATGTACATAGCAAACTGGACCCTTGTATTAACTTCCAAGAAATTTAATAAAAAAAAAAAAAAGAAAAAAGAATCCTTTGGTATTTATGGTCTGGAGTGTTTTATCTATAGTAATTTGAAAAAAAAAATACTATTTTTTTCTCTTGTGTTGATTTCTACTTTAGCCACTTAAAAAAAAAATAGATTTTTTGCATCACGCTGACCAGTGTTGAAATTCTCACAGTATTGTTGAAGTTATCGCCAACATTCCTTATCGAGATTTACAAATTCTACGTTTCATTCAATTTCGCAAAGCAATCAATGCAATTGGAATAAGCTGATTTTTTTAGGAAAAATACTTTGAAAAAATCCTACTTCGTGGTCTTAATTTCTTTAATTTAATTTTATAGGACTTCATAGTAAACAATATTTTTAAAAAAAAAAATTTCCTCTTTTCCTTTTTAGCAGTGAAGAATAAATGTTTAGGATTTCCTCCTCTTGAACATGCAACATTTCGCGGGCCATACGTAAATTTTTCTATCTGGAGCCAAATTCCAAATTCCAAGCGTTTGACCTTGTGATTTGTTTATAGTTCTCGCAAATGCAGGATGAATAAGAAAATTGATTGTTGAATATAAAAGATACGCAAAAAATATTGCATTTTTAATTAAATAAGTTTTGTTATTTCAAAAAAAAAAAAAAGTATTTTGTATGCTAAATAATAAAACTTATAATTTTTCAAAAAAAAAAAAAAAAAAATGAAAATTTATATACGCCATATTTTCTACCGTCTTACATGTTTGCACTTCTAAACCAAATTTTGTTTCGATCGGTCAATGTATGGCTATATTAGAGGTTGTGATGGACGTACTAACAGAAGCCACAGAATTTTATATATAGATTGAAAGTTAAAAAAAAAACAGTGGTTTTCCCTGATAACTGCTATTTTGTGGAATCTGATGGATGCTTTCTTGAACATCAACCTCTTCAAGAGAACGATCAGTCCTTATCTATCCACTTTTCCCTCACAATTTTCAATTCTTACCACAATTTTTTTCACTCATATCACATATCATTCATCATGACCATTTTAAAATGTGTTCAATTGAGTGGCTCTCGAGCCAATCATTGTGCGAAATTTAGTATAAATAAAATAATTAGTCTCACCAAGATTTCGAACTGATTAATACTTAAGTTGGCGGATTATTGAAGCTGAGATTCAAATGTTCTTCAAGAAATATAATTTTTACTCGCAGGACGGTGTTATTCCCTTGGTAACTGATATACGTGTAAAATCGGCGATATTACAGAGATGCAAATATCTACATGTCAAACGAATTAATGTGTATTGACAAACTGTCTCAAAGTAATTATATTTACGTCCTTATGGATGGCACCTTGTGAAAAAAAAAAATTGTATGATGGATATAATTTAATGAGGACTGGTTCATCTGTCAATATTTTGCCGGTTTCACGTTCCGTAGTTGACACACAGGTAAAAGAGTGGGTGGGTGGGGCTAACGAGGAGAAGGTCGAGGCGAAAAGTTGGAAAGTAGAAGAAGGCGATAAGCCAAAACAAGAACCACTCCCATTATACCCACCCCCGTCTCAATTGCCACACCCACCATCACTAAAATAATAATAATAATAATAATAATAATAATAATAATAATAATAATAGAAAAAGAAACAGAGAAAATGGAAGAAAAAGAAAGGAAAATGAATGAACATTAATAAAAAAAAATACGGAAAAGATGGCGACTGCCAAAGAAGAAACGTTGAGGAATCTAAATTTGTTTCGACTGTCAAAGAGCTCATTCATAAGATAAATTATGTCAATAAAATTGAATTACTCTTGGTCGCGTTGTTTCTGATTTTATTTGGACTTGACCAAAACAAGCTAGACGCAGTATAATCTTCACAATCACCGATTTTGTCACGTAGAAAAAGAGACAGAAATCCTTGAAATAAAAAAAAAATAAAGGAATACACATTGGTAAGGCCTTAAAGATTAGACCACAAAGACATCGTGATCTTTTTTGGTAACATGACTGACTTTTAAAAAATAACATATATCTATATCCGAGGCGGCTACTGAAAAGCTCTTCGCTATAAGATTTTCCTAATATCAGAACTAGACCATAATGTTTTAAAGGCGTCATTGTCAGCACCCTTTCCTATCTATCTATCTATCTATCTATCTATCTATCTATCTATCTATCTATCTATCTATCTATCTAGTTCGCTTTCTTCATATCTGTCATTCTATCAATTTCATTTAGTATCAACTGTTTTCTATACATTTCTGTTTTTTTCTTTCTCTTATTCTCACACCTTTTCTTTGTATCTATCATTCTATACATCTCATTTAGTATCTAGTGCTTTCTATATATTCCTCTTTCTTTCTTTCTTTCTTTCTTTTTTTTTTTCTATCTATCTATCTATCTATCTATCTATCTATCTATCTATCTATCTATCTATCTATCTATCTCCTTTTCTACGTTTCCATCATTCTAACCATCTCATTCAGTATCTACTGCTTTCTATACATTCCTATCTCTCGCTTTCTCTCTCTGCTCTCTCTCTCTCTCTCTCTCTCTATCTATCTATCTGTCCATTTTATTTATTATCTACTACACATTCTATACATCCCCGCTCACTCTCTATCAAACTATATAGAAGCTTATCACACTGAATCAGTTTCGTCCTGCTCCCTCTTAATCTATCTATCTATCTATCTATCTATCTATCTATCTATCTATCTATCTATCTATCTAGCGAGATAGCTAGCTCATTTTGAGACTGCTTAGTGTGAACACTACGTTTCTTATTTACGATATTCCAGTGATTATCCTGACTAAAATAAAAACCGAGAAGTTTAAAGGCTTATTTTCATGGATGGCCGTTCAGCGTTGAAGATTTTTGTCACACAATCTTTAAAAAAATGCGTCTTTTATTGGCCTTAAGCCCCACTAAATAAAACTAAGTAAATATAAAGATGAATAATAAAGTGATATCCAAGTAATGATAATATATAACATAAATTTCGCCGCCATTGATTCGTAACGATTGATTAAATGATTTGTTTGCTTAACGGCATATCAACTCCTTCATGGGTCATTTCAGCCCGAAATTTAATTATCTTCAAGTGCTTTGAAGTAATAAGATATGATATATGTTATTCTACTTTTACAATTGAATACATGGTAGATGGTACTCAGATTTTGGGTATATATAATATTTTGTGGACATAATTACTAGAGGTGCTGATGTGTATTTTATATGGCAGTTTGGTGAAGTTATATTTTGGAATCCAGTTTGATTTCTTTAAGAAATTGTAGGATATTAAATGGACTAATATAATGAAAGAGTTCTTTCATGTTGATTATTTTGTTAGTTGGTTGATTTTGTTTGGTGGCTTATCAAACTCTATTGGCTATTTAATACCGAAATTTAAATGTTTTTACGTAATTTTATGCTTTCAACTACATATATTTTGTACATCATTTATACTGACAGAGTAAAGGTATATTTTTTGAATATCTATTTTATAGATCATAAAATATATTGTTGGTAATTTTACTATAAAAATGTATTTTTATACATTCTTTAGTGTTGTATTTATTGTCATTTTGCTATAAAATATATATTGTTAGTCCTTTTATTATAAAGATGTACTTTTGATTTTAGTTTGGAGGTTCATTATTACACTTTAGTTGGAACGTTAGTGGATGCTACTGTCTCGAGTCAAGATGCACCTGGGAACAACATTCATATTCTTTGTCTCTGTTCTGCCATTCAATCACATAAAAAAAAATCCTTAAGTAGTCCACTCACTGTTTCACCAGGCTTCTCTGGCGTTCAATATATCCTGTGATTACAATATATTCCAGCCTCTCTTTTCTCATTGTATTCCTACAAATGTCCACTTTCTGATTGTAAATATAAATTTTCTTTTACATCGTATCCACCTAAGAACTTACATTTGTCCATGATATCGCCAGTATTAGTGGGTAGAACAACCACGTCTCAGGTCTTACAAGTTTCTTTTTATTCAGCATTTACTGCCATATAGGAGATTAGATAATATGTAACGGTACAGCACACTTTTCCTCGTTTCTAATGACATGCTCTTATGTCTTAATACTTCGCTTAGTTTCAGAAGGGCACCTTTAGCTATAACCATACATTCAGATTTCTAACACAGTCTCTATCAATTCTTACTACAAGTTACAGTTCTGTGCCGTCTTGATTTTGAGGTCCCATCCACGTACCTTGTATTTTGGGCTGCCTATTTTGGTAACATCCATGCATTCTGTATTCATACCGTTTTACCTTTCATTAACTGTTTTATTTAAGAGAATTTACAAGCGATATTGTCGAAATCTATAGACAAAATAACGTATTTTTTTTTCACTGTAAAATTTTGCACACAAATAGCATAATGATCAGTGACCCATGAAGTATTCGTTCTTTCTTTTACTGCTTGGCAATTACACGCCTGTCGTCTCTACTTGGAACATATCTGCAAACTTCACTTTCACATTCCTCCTCCCCATTTTCTTTATTTCTTTCTTTCTTTCTTTCTTTCTTTCTTTCTTCCACATTCACCCACCCAACGTTCTTTCTTCACATATTTGTCATTTTTACCCTTTTTCTTTCTTTCTTTCTTTCTTTCTTTCTTTCTTTCTTTCTTTCTTTCTTTCTTAATTTTTGCTTCTACGTTGAACATATCTACTGATTCACTTTCTACTACCCGATTTTCTTTCTTTCTTTTTCTTTCTTTCTTTATTTCTTTCTTTTTTCTTTTCATTTCTTAGTTGAGCATCTATGTTGACTTCATTTTCCTCCACCTTTCTTTCTTTCTTTCTTTCTTTCTTTCTTTTCTTTTCTTTCTTTCTTTCTTTCAATTCACCAACCCAACGTTCTTTCTTCTCATATTTGTCATATTTAACTTTCTTTTTTCTTTCTTTCTTTCTTAATTTTTTGCTTCTTGAACATATCTAGTGATTCACTTTCTACTACCCGATTTTCTTTTTTCTTTCTTTTCTTTCTTTTTTCATTTCTTATTGAGCATCTATGTTGACTTCATTTTCTCCACCTTTCTTTCTTTTCTTTCATTTTTTTTCTTTCTTTCTTTTCTTTCTTTCTTTCTTTCTTTTTTCTTCCACATTCACCCACCAACGTTCTTTCTTCCACATTTGTCATATTTTCCCTTTTTCTTTTCTTTCTTTCTTTCTTTCTTTCTTTCTTTCTTTCTTTTTTTTGCTTCTATTGAACATATCT